AAAGAAAGGCTACATTAATTTTTCTTGTAGTTTTCTTCACCGAGTCTATTTTATCTTTCTTGTTTATACCTTTCCGTGACCTTTCATACTTCTACTTTGACAATATCCATCGATTTTTTTACCGTTACCAAATTTTTTGTGGAAGTACCGTTAATGACAAAAAACTCCAGAAAGTTTACAAAAAGTCGTAAACTTAAAGAAGGATAAGAACCTGGCCAAAATGGTTTATAAGTTATGCTCTACAAGAAGTTTTAAATATTAAATAAATACACAATAACATGATTTCTTTATTGTAACTCCCTTCAATATAACAAGCATTTAAATAGTTTTTTGTTATAAATTTTTCAAATAATAGTTATAAGAACAACATACAATTTTGAAAAAGAGTAATTAAATATTAGTGGAATACAGAATAACATTTACGAGTACTAAATAAATATTTACTCTTACATATAGAAACTAGAAACTCTACTTACTTATTACTTAGTATTTCGTGTAACCATTCAAGCGGTTTATTAACTATCTAGTTATTGACTAGCAAATGTTGGTGAATTTCATCTCAAATAGTCAGATCGAATGAATCTAATCTAAACGTAATCCGAGAAGCCAAAGATATTGGAACAACTTTGTTTCAATATCTTCTGACTATTCATTTAGGAAATTGAGGTTGAGCACAAAATTTAAATAACAATTTAAACATTTTAACCTAAATAAATAGGTATATATATATAAAACTATTTATTTATGAAACTACTTATAAAACTACTAATAAAAAAAGTATATTTATAATTGAATTTGTTAACTAGCACCCTAACATTTCATTTGAGAAAAAATTTAATGCTTTTTTCTATTTCACTTTCTACATTATTTTTAAAAAAATTGATAAGAATGTAGAACATACTGAATGTAAACAATGAGTAAATGTAAATGGGTAAATTTAAACAGTTTAAATATTTTCATTCTTTGATAGGTGTGTTTGAGATTTCTTCTTATAAATTTGAGGAATATTTTGAAGAAATTCTGATACAAATTTAAAAAAACTGACTCAAATTTGTTACTATTACTGAAGTTCACGATTGAATTATTAACAGATTAAGAACAATTTTCAATTATTTTCAGGTACAAATTACCCAAAGTAAATTTACTATTTAATAACCCACAATTTGATTGTGTCATACATAGTTACATATTCTTTTATTATTAACACACATATTTTTTTATTATTAACAGACATGCATTATTAAACTAAGTTATGTACTTGCATTTTATATATATTGTTTAAATGTCATAATATTCTGTTAGTATTATATTTAAGAGCCCTGGTCCGATGGAAAATAATGCAATGTAAATGTTTGCCCTTTCGCTGTTCCGCTTCTATGTTTAAGTTTCAATGTAAATAATGAGGAATTTAAATAAAAGTTATAAAATGAGAAACCAAACATATTTAACACCGTCTAGTTTTTAAACTTCTTCTTTATAAACTGAAAACTGTATTGCGGGTAGGCATTAAATATATATTATTACGTACTATAATTCTGGTCACGTTTCTTCACACACATTCATATTCTAAATGTATTGCATTCCATTGATTTTGTGAGATATTGGTGTGGTTATTGTTTATTTATTCCATTACTTTGTATTTCTAAGATAATAAGTTGAAAGAAAAAAGATATAAAATTAACAGTTAATTCCAAATTTTTTGTAATCCATCAGAGACATGACTCCACATATATTCAAATAATATTACAAAATATCAAATGCAAAAATAAGAGTTTAAAGCAAGAAATTTTTTTGAGTGAATGTAAATTTATAACAAGATATTATGTTCAAGAAGTTCAATTTTAGAACTGACTATTTTATAACATTCCTTTCCGATTTCTGAAACGAATATTGAAACTGTTACAGCTGTCAATCCGTGTCCGAACTGCGTCTATAAGAGCCTCAGTCTAGATGTCTTACTTGCTTTTCAGAACATTTTTAATCCACCAAGTAATACGTTTTTTTTCTATTTTAAAATGTTACTTCACTGTGGAAAATGTCAATTTTACTTGTTAACAATTACAATATAATATGAGGTGTTCCAATAAAATGAGGTAGAGTAATAAAATATCAGAAGTATCACAGAACCGCAAGCCCGCAGATAGGATGCCACTATGTAATAAGTGAGACGAAGTTACCGTATCAGGCCCTAATTGTGCTGATCGATACCGAAATTCTGCGGCCACATTACAGTATGTCTAACTGGAGCGAGTTTCTAATAGATAAAGGAATGAAGTTAAATACTAAAACATCTTTTAGTGTATTACTACTATTTTTTCAAACGTAATTGTAGAATAAAAATGTAAAATGTACGAGAACATACCCCATAGCAGTGTATGATGTAATTCAGTTTTCTTGTAGAGCTAGAAAGCCTATCCTCTTCCGTAGACTCGAATAATATATTCCTGTATTTTAAATATTTTTAAGTGTTTTTTACATATAAATTTATGAGCTACATATAAGCATCTATTAATTTTACATTCATAAGATATATTAATAAAAATATATAAAATATGTAATTCTATTGACATATCAAAAAATATAGATTATGTTTCCACAATGAAAACAAGTTCTTAGTAGAAAATGTGTTTTGAAATATTTAACTAACATAAAAAACCAAATATGTTGAACTGTTTCATGGTCGCACTTAGACATCCGGATATAGAATACAACAAAGAGCATAATTTTTTCAATTGTCTCTAAGTATCACAGGTTATAATGACACAAACGATTCCAGGCAATGATTTTGTTTTCACAAAATAATACATATTACAACTTTATTAAAGAATAGAGTTGTTATCAAAAAAAATGTATTAAAAAAAATCTATTAATTAACAATAATTTTTAATGATGACAAAATTTCTTTATTTGTAACTAATCGAGAATCAGGGTCATTAATTCTTTAAATGGTTTTTTTTTCACGTATAACATTAATATACTTTAAAAATATTCAAAGTAATTTACTTCATTCTTTTAAACATAATCCGCTGACTCAACTGCAAACAAGCGTAACCTTGAACTTTAAGGATTCTATGTAGTTCCGAGATTTCCAGGATCTGTAAAAAAATTAACTGGGAACTGTGCTCATATATATAATTCTTTTCCACGTAGTTATTAAATTTTAGTTTATACCAATGTTTTGAAATTGAATGCCAAGTTAAAATTTTAATTAATATTTTAGTTTTAATTACAATAAAAGAAAGAAAATTAATATCATATAAAACTGTTGAATTTCAAAATAAGTGAGTTACAGCTGGAGATTAAATTTTGTAAACAAAAAAGACACTATCGCGATGATATTATTTCCTGGATGGATTAATTCCTTAAAATGACAACAAAGACATCTTTTAATTGCGCAAATAAAACTTTTATATTGCAATTAAAACTAGTTAACTAATTTTGGCTTGCACTTTTTCATTAACTCTTTTTTTTTCATTTCAGTATAAACAATAATTTTATAAACCAATTTAGTCTTGCTATTTGGAAACTATTTTATTAATATCTAATTATAACTCGAAGCCTTGAGATTCTTAAGCTATTGTACAACATATTTTGATATAAACTAGACGTGAATCACAACTCGGTATTGCATGATGTTTAATTAGATTGCACTGGCCATGGTAACAAGTAAATTCTAGGTTGACCTAATAATATTGCACTTATGGTTTAGAAAATTTAAAGAAAACTCTAAAAATATGACTGGAGAAAATATAATCAAGAACCCAATTTGATATAAAAACCTCTTCACCTATAATTTTTAGTTCATATTAAAATTATCGATCAGGTCACTCGTTCACTATAATTTTAGCCTCTCTAATCTTTTGTTTAAAATTATTTCCATTTATTTTAATCACGTAATAATAAAGTCTTAAAAATAGCAATGTGAGTGTTATAATAGGTACTAATATTGATATCAGTTATCGACATTGTGACGTACGCGATTAGCTGTTACAATCTTTTTTCTCGTGAGAATACAAGAAATACACCTTGAAAGACATAAATGGAGTCTTTTATTTTAACAGCAATGCGCAAGTTAAGCCAACAGAAACTTGAAGTATTTGTTATTTTTGGTTGCAGTTGAGTCTTCTGATTTTAAACTTTAAAGAGAAGAAAATAATAATTAGCAGTTGTTGAGTTTTTGTTATAATTATTTGTTCTGTATTCTATTTTTAAAAGGAATCTTGCTGGTTCTTTATTACTTTTATTATATTTTAATCGCTAGACAACCGGTCTTACGAATATAAAAGATGGAACAATTGTAACACTCCCTTCAAACGCCATGATATCGAAAATTGGGCGTTTCTTAGTCAAATATAGAATGATCACTATGTACATTTATTGCCCAGTCCAATTTATAAAAAAAAGTTTAAATTTTAACATTATAATGTTTTTTCTTTATATTAAAAGCAAGGTTGGTGAGAAAAAAGTGTAATTAAATTCACAATACGGTTTTATAAAGTAGGTATTCCAATACTGTTTTAAATAGATGTTTTTTTGTACTTGTTTATTTTGATCATATAAGACATGCAAAAATTTAAATAGATAGATGTATATGATTGTCTATACATATTTTTATTCTAATATATTTAAGTACCTAATATAGATAAAATAACATATTGGGGCGAAAACGGTTTTTAGTAATATTTATGACATCACAACGATTAATTTTAAGTACTTACATTAAAATAAAATTAAATAAAAGAAAATGTTACAACCACTTTAACAAAATAATTAATTTAGTTTAATTCAAAAATTATGATAAAAATATTCATATCATTTTTTAAATCCATCTGTAAGCATAATGAAGTATTTAAAATTTCGCGGTTATTCGCCGCCAATGCAGAGCACGTGGTAAGATGTAACAAAAATATATTAAGTATGTTATATATATTATATATACATAAACATATATTTTACTCACGCTGCATAATCTGCATGGGGCAAAGAAACAAGCGCGAGTGCTAGCACAAGCGCAACGTTGCGCACACACCGCGAGCGACGAGCGTGCATCGTCCGCGATCGTAGCGGCCGCAGGCTGCTGGCAGCCGCGTGTCTGCCTGTCGGCGGACTAGCGTGTTCTCCAACACTGGTCCCTTGGACTTCGCGCCTGCGCTTCGTCTCTTATCGACCGGCACCCAGCCGTTCTTTCCGCTCGCACAGATCCTCAACTCTTATTGAGCGACAAACACTAAACTCCCCATCTTCAACTTTTCGCTACCGCTCATTTTTTATTAACTCACCTAGACATGATATCGCTCTGATTAGGTATATAGTCAGATATTGGTGAGTCATAGAAAAACCTAAAATGAATTAGGTATTATATGAGGCCCAAGGTTAAGAGTAACTTTGATATTTTATAAATAATAAAATCAGTCTGAACCTATTTTATTTTGAAATAAATCATTGGGTATCCTAATAAGTACGAGTAGCAGTAGTTCCGGCAGTAAAGCTTAATCTTATGAATAAAGTTGCTACAAAACATTCTATGGAAAAGTTCAGATTTCAACTGACTGCAATTAAAATGTATGTATGTACATACGTTTCAAAATTGTAATCAGAATATGAATAGGTATAAAAAGTTTTAAGCAACTTTATGTGTTTTCTTGCTTACAACTAACGTAAAAGTAAGAACAATATTTCATTCTAAGCAGTGCAACTGATAAATAACAAGAAAATTTCCGTACAGAAAGTAACGGCATCGCAATATAACTCAACGGGAACGCGGTGATATAAAATTCCGAATCGAAGTGAATTTAGAACAGTTAAGAGAAAATCATAAGAATGTTCTATATATTGAAATGGTGTTAAAATATAAAGCAGACTTAAGTTGGCTGAGCTTAAACAGCAAAGATTTTCATGTTTATTTTATACCATGGAATGGCTTATGGCAGGCATTTCAGTCTTCATAGATCCACACATTTTGCAAAAATTGAAGGAAGACATTACTATTCCATACAAATTTAATAGCATAATTATATTTTACTTCTGTATGTATGAATATTGTAAAGTCAACGTATTTATAATTATAAACATACATATTTATATATATATATATATATACATATATAAACAGCAATCATGATATAATAATTATGAAATCCGAATAAAAATACTTTAACAATTTATAGGGACCACAAGCCATTTTTATCATACTCTATTCATACAAATCATTGCTTGATTTAGATGAATCAATCGCATCTTTATTGACGGTACCGCAATGCGTCAGTCTCGATCTTAAGCCCTGCATTACTTAAAAAAATAATTTGGTTTATTTAAGCAAAATTTTCCTTATCCCAAAGGATATATATGATAAGGATTCCTTTTTTATATGTATTTTTTTATGCATAAGTTGTACAAATATATCAAAGAAATAATACGAGTACTCGTACATATACCGATTGATAAACTATTTTATTTCTATTACTTATAGAAGATTGTTTAAATAAATTCAGATAGTATAATTCTGTAGTTACTCAGAAGTAGGTGAAAAAAAATTTTTACAACAAATGTTTTGGAAGGAATACAAACTTAGGAATAAATACAAACAAAATTTGTTTTAGGACTTTATCTTCCTTTAGTATACTAGTAACCGTATACACACATATTATACAAATTAAACTATGAATTTTTAAAATAGTTCATAAGAATAGACTGTTTTTCAATAACAGTTAACGATTGATCATATTTTATATCAAAAAAAGTTACGGTAAAATTTATAGAATTATGAGAAAAGAATGTTATTATTAAAAATCGGAGATGTAGGTCTTTCTTGAGTGTTAGTAATAAGATTAATTAAAATCTTTATAATAAATGACAAACTATGAATTGTTAGTATAGCTTTAAAATCTATACTTCTTCAATTCTCCTTCTGTTAAAAATATTGTATGCTAGCCATTATACTGTAAATAAATGATAAAATTATCGAATGAAAATAAAAATGAATAGTAATCCCAAACAAAAGTCCCTATATCGTCAATAATTTCGTCTTAAACGCATATCTTTAGTGCAAAAAACAAACTGACTTTTAAAGGTAATCTATAATTTTTCAAAATAACAATTTGTATAAAAGTACACTATTTAAAAATCTTTAGAAGAATACGAAATAAGAAGGCATGCAAATATTAACGGCCTTGTGAAACAATTCAATATATATGTATTTACAATGCATTACAATATGGTTGAACATAACGATAAACGTAATCGCAGGAAAATTTTCATTTAAATATTACCTTTAAATGAAAACTTTCCTACGATAGGAGTCAATGAAATGCATTTATTTGAACTGGTTTTGCCCGAATTTATTGACGTTACAGATTTTTAATTCTATTATTCGCATTAAGTGCTTTAACAAATCAGCGAACACCTCATTTTTTGCTTTAAATAAATATTTGCCTTGCAATCACAGTCCAGTGAGTTTATAAAGGGTTAAAAATATTTAAAAATGTGTACGATTGGAACGATATTCTGATAACTCCTTCCTGCAATATTATTTGAATTTAAATTAGAAGGATTTTGATATTTCTCTCTTACCCTTATGTTGAATTCAATGATACAGATTTAACTTGAAAAGAGGGCCAACCATCTGAAAAAAGTGCTATTTTAATAAAATACAATACTTTACTTTCGCTTTATATTATATTGGTGAAACTAAAAAATATTATTTTTATTATAGGTGTCAATTACTTGACTCTAGAATATTTAAATCTCGGATTCATAGCATATAATTCAGGAACTTAAGATTTATTACACCACCAACCGACGGACTCGGTAACATGATGTTGTCGGCATACATAGCTTATGATACTAATAGACACGTATATGATATTTGATAGTCCTATTGGTTCTGAGTCTATCCACTGCAAAAATGTTATATATAGCATTACTCGATTAAGAGAATGTGGGCCTTATATTTGAAGTGTACAAAATATTCGTTCAGATATCCGTAATTTAAAAAAAATGTTAATATATGTGTAAAAGTGTAAAGGATTGTATATAAAAAATAAAAAAATCTATTTTTATTTCAATAATTTATAGATTCTATTGATGGTTTATATTACCCTACATCTCATCTTAATATTCGGATTTATTGAAACTTAAGTTAGTCTGTAAATATACAGTAATATTTAACCTTGTAAATATCTAGAACACAGAAGGGTGCTCAATGGTATTTTTACCGTTTTTAGAACACATTTTTTCCTTAAAATTTTTATAAGAACTACTCATATTATAAGGGGTTTCTTGAAACCAATAATAAACACGTTTTACATACAATCTATCCGTGTCTTCATGGCAATTTGTCATGTCATAAGCTTTTCAACATGACATGTTTTTCAAGGTAACCGAAAAAGAATTTTTCACATCATATTCATTTCTTGTAAAAGATTGATTACAACCCTTTAAACAAATGTATAGAACAATCCTAAAATTATATTGGTATAATAAATATTTTTTGAGTTTATAAAATTTTAATTTTAATTATTTTTTCAAATATTTTATTATTTAGAGAGCAACCCATTTTTTTTTTCATCCGCATCTCTCGGCCAGTTTGGGGAACTAACCGCGTTTATGTGGGACTCGGTGCTCCCGAAAGATGGTAAGTGGAAGCAGCCTCTACCCACTAAAAATTTAGGCATACTCCCTCTACACCGCCAAAGACGGAGCCATGGGAACTATTATTATGACTTCCGCGACTCCGCCGACAGTCCACCTGCTGCGTGGGTCTGGCTAGCTCAACTTATTCGAGAATGTGTCTCATTCTTCTATCTCTTCTTTCTTTACGGTACGCATGGAGTATGATGCGTACTATAACCAGCTCGGGGACTCGGTGCAATGGGTGACGGCGTCCCCAAGGCACCCCGAGTTCCCAGGCTAAGGCGGGACGTTCCGATCATAGTCGATCTGGCGTCTTCTTGGCCTCGGTCTTCGTCGGGGGTCGAGCGCCTCCTGTTCTCTTCTGCGCTCGGCCTTCTCTTTAGCGGCTATCACTCTATGAGCGAAGGTATCCATCGGTTGCCACTTCCTTTCCCCTCCCAACATTGCGTGAAACACTGCGGGAAGGGAGATGTCACGTCCGATTTGTTGTCGTAAGTCCGAACGTTGGTTATCCCAAGAGAAACATGTCTGGATTGTGTTTTCGGCCGTGTCACACACTTCAGAGCAGTGGTGACAGGCCGTTGTTTCTTTTCGGTTTACCATCTCACACAGATATTTACCAAAACAGCCATGATCGGTCAGCATCTGTGTGAGATGGAATGATAGCGCGCCACCTTTTCTGTCAATCCAGTCCTTTAGGACTGGACGGATCGCCATAATCAGGTTGGAGCTGGAATCTCGGAGTCTTTCTTTCCAGCGCCCGCTACTTCGCACTCTTCCTCCACCCCTGGATGTTGCGACCTTCCTCTTCCCTTAGGAATTGACAGCGTCAGAACACTTATTCTAACAGCTCGGCCTCTAGGTCCCAAGGCAAGCTGCCCGCCAATGCGCATACCGCATCTCTGGAAATGGTTCGGTAACCTCGCACGACTCGGATTGCAAGGATTCTCTGCTTCCTCCCAAGCAATCTGCGGTTTTCGGACTGCAGATTCCTTGCCCGGATCGGTGCCCCGTACATCACCATCGATTGAACCACTCCCAGATAGAGACGTCGACATCCGAGGCTCGGACCCCCAAGATTAGGAAGAAGCCCCGCCATCGCCCCTGCAGCTTTCGTGGCCTTCTCGGATAGCTTCCTGAAGTGGTCTTTGAAGGACCATTTGCTATCAAGAACGAGACTGAGGTAGGTCAACGATGATCTGACTTCTATATTCGTACCACCTACCACGATGCTCGTTCCTGGTAGCGGCGAATTCCTCGGTCCGTGGAAGATTATGGCCTCTGATTTATTTAAAGCCACCGTTAATCGTATAGCGCGTATACGGTGCATAATCTGTGCGACCACAGCTGTAGCACGCAGCACTGCCTCTCTATGCGAATGACCTCGCGCTACGGCCAGTGTATCATCCGCGTAGCATATAGCGTCCGTTCCATGTAGGAAGGCACCACGGAGCACCCAGTCGTATCCAATGTTCCACAAGAGTAGCCCGAGAGCCGACACCTGCGGATCACCGCACACGACCTCATGCTCCTCCCATCCAACTTGCGTCGGGAACTGCACCGAGCGGGCAGAGAG